GACATAGTTACTTTCGTAACCGACAATAAAAATCGTATGATCTGACCGGGGCTTAAAGCAATCCATGTTTTGTTTACTTTTGGTCTTGAGACTTACTCTAATTAGATGTTCTTTTGTTAATTATTGTTTATTATTATTAATATTAGTAGCATGTATGCTGTTTTGATTGCCCAAACCTAAGCATAACTACTGCAACCAATATACTTGATGGACTTCTTTAAGTAGCAATGATTGCATTTATTAAAGGAAAACATAAATTATGATACCAGAATAATATAAATAATGGTAATATAAAGATAATTGTAATCATTCATAATACTTATATGAATAATACACATACATATTTCATGTTCGGCCTATAACGTAACAGGGCTATTAAATGTGTTATTTATTATTATATTGAAAATGTAAAGTGGAAAAATGTTTGGGGGTCCCAGTTGCTTTCTTGGATGCCTATAAGCTGAAAATGTTTGAAGAATATTAATATTATTATAGTATTTAAACTGTATTTTTAATATATAATTAACTCTACATATTTTGCTTTATATAAATGCATGTTCAGCAGTAGAATAAATTGCCATTACCAGTAACCTCTATAAAATATTAACGCCTACCTTTTATATGGTTAAATTACAGCATTCAGACCATCCGTGGCTACACAGTAATGATGTAATTGTGATTTATGGCTTAAGATTTTAGAAAACTGATAAAACCTGGCCTAACATTAGCTTTTTTGTAGGCAATATTTGAAGAATATTTGAAGAAGCTACCATACCATAGTTTATCGTCATATTCCTTTCTAGAGTTATATTGCTTTGGTACTCCCTTTATACATAAAATAATTCATAAATAATCCTAAAAATAGTTTTAGGATTTTTTTCTTCTTCTGTTGAACACAAAAAAAGATAGTTTAAAGAACGTTGGAAAAATGTAGACATTTATTTCCTTTGTAGGAACAAAAAGTGCTATGCAAGTCAATGGCTGTTTTTTTTTTTTTTTCTACAAAGTTCTTCAAAATACAGTATCTTCCTTTGTGTTCAACAGAATATATTCTTAAGTTTATGAACACCTAATTTTTTATGAAACAGATATGGAACAAGGGGAAGATGAGTAAATCGAGGCAGAATTTATACCTTTAATGCAATTGACATGATAATAATTAATACAATAATGATTAATATGAATTTACCCATAAAATATTCTACTAACTATTTTCCCCAGGCTGATATGAACAAAGCTCGCATTGATGAAGCCAACCAGCGAGCCAACAAACTTCTGTAGAGAATAGACACTGCCAGCATCGCTCGGGAGCCTGATTGTTTAATCGCAAACACACACATACACTCAAACACACACATTTGCTTCACAGTGATGAATTACTGCAAGTGAGTAAAGTTCCTTAAATGCCATCTGTGCCTTTTATCGTAGTCTTTGTTCTATTGTAAATAGTTAGACACACACACACACACACACACACACACACACACACACAGATATAATACAGAGCCTCCTGTACAATCCAAAATCCAGTCTCACCCTTAATATAGAAGGAAAACACAATGGACGCACCGAGTGCAGTTGTTTTTGCTGTATGTAATGGATCGTGTCTAATCGGTGGGGATGGTGATGGATTCGGTCAGTCCCTCTGTCTGCACTTGAGTCAACATGGCTGAACGTTTCACTAATCTGAATGAGGGGCCAAAGACTTACGACAGATCTTTTAATGTCCTTGTATGCTGCCCTTATAGTCGTTAATGTAAGTTTGGGCTAATCTTGTAATGTTTGGTTTTTTTATGTTATTTTTCTTTGTCTGTGACTGATTATGCTCATATTTAATTATCTAAAGACATTAATGGGCCTTGTGAATACAGTTAGTCCTGTTCATTGTGTGGGGCATAATGTATGGTAGCGTTCATTTTGATGGCAAAATTTACCATGCTGTATAGGAATAGGACATTTCAATATATTTTATTTCTAATAAAGCTGGTAAATATCTTTCTTGACTTAACCCCCCCCCCCCCCCCCCCTTCATTTTGTTGAATAGCAGACCTGACCTTACCAGTAGAGGGCGCTGTTATATTGCTTTGTGAAAGTAATTTTGAAATAAAAAATATGATAAAAAAAGAAATCAGTACTATGTGTATTAAATAAATACAGCTGATGATGACGTTTCACGAGAAAACGAGGACGCAAGACCGCTGAAGAACTCGTATAGATAAACAGCCAGGTCTACATGCCTAAATGAGTTGCTGCCATGTGATTGGCTGGTTGGAAATGTGCGTTACTGAGCAGTTGGACAGGTGTACCAAATAAAGTGGCCGGTAAGTATATCTCACACACATATACACACACACACACACACACACACACACACACACACTTGTAGGCTATTCATCATTTTTTTTTTTTTACATAAAACGCATAATAATCAAGTGCAAAAAAGAAGAGCTGAACTTCGGAAAAGGTGCTTGATGCGGTTGCCGCGATGTGGTTGCTTGTTTCTCTGCAGTTGGCTTGTCATTGCTAAATCACTTTTGTTTTAATAAAAAAATAAGATAATAATTAAACATTGTTAGATGATGGTCGCGTGATTATTAAAATGAGGATGCCTTGCGTATTTATGGCTATTGATAGACTCTTGATAGGCTAGGAACAGCCTATCATTCTGTTATTTTTCATATATTCTGTTAAAAGATTTTTGTGTTCATCCGAGCCCCACCGGCTGCATTTGGGTCAGAATTTTCATGGCTGAATCTTGATTGCCAATTGATATCATGTGTTTTGGGTCACTTTAGATGAGCTTAATCTGAACAGCCGCTTTGGAACCCAGGGTCCGTAATCGAGCGGCCGCGCGGACTGCCTTTTATTGAGGCGGTAGGAGCGCTGTTTCTCATCGACGGTAGGCCACATTTTCAACCGTCGCCAAGACTGCAAAGGTAAACGCCCCCCAGCTCTTCAAGCAATGTGCTGTCATTTTTGCTTGTTTAAATCTTAGTTTAATTCCATTTGTAGCCGTTTTAAAGGGCGAAGTGCGCTTCCCACAATGCATTGCGGCAACGAACGACCAATTAAGGAGATTGCTGTTCCAGACCTGTCTTTTCCGCCTTCTGTGTGGAAATCATGTCGAGAACGCCAAACAATACCGTGTACTAGGACTTGGGAGCGTGAGGCGGGCCTGGGGGACACGTAAAGGGCCGTGGACACGTACAACTTGCCCAAACTTACGCTTTGTTGGTCGTTTGATTGACAGACGATCCGGCTGCTATGCTTTGACCACGCCCCGAGGACCATGAAGAGAGACCCAGGCATGCAAACGATTAATCCGCCCTCTTACGGGTTCGTAGATCCGTCACTTTTTGTCTTGCTTGATATTCCGGCTTTTTGTGCTTTGAATTATGTGTTGGGGTATCGGTCTACAATACATGTAGTGACTTTATTCTTCAATGTGGAAGTTGTCGTGTTTTCAGTGCAGTTTTTTCCTTTGCTGCTAACTCCACGGCCTCTGACCAGGGGGAAGCCAAGCCTTCCCCAGCCTCACACACGCTCGACAGTCTTACCTTGGGAATATTACAAATCTTCTTTGCTTCTTTATGTTCACCAAACTTGTGCCGTAGTCCCCAGTCTCTTGAAGGAAACGAGCCGAATTTGGCTTTGATCTAGTTTGTCTTTTTTTATGCACATGAAACTTGTCCATAATAATAAAAAGTTGCACCAGAAAGATAATTTTCTTTGCATTTATTGACAAAAAACCTGCAAATGGGTCGTTATCACTATAAAGTGCTTTTGATGTCCCACAAGACGGGATCAATCCTTTATGAACATAATGCGAAATAATGAAACTCTCATGTTTCAATATGGTTGGTTAAACCTTCACACACACAGGTAGCATTGAACGTGTTTTGAAATATGTTTTTGTCAATCTGTCTATGTTCTTTCATTAAATGGATGTGATTTTGCCATGTCACACCGCTCAGCCGACTTCAGTGACTACAGAATGTAGGTCGATTAGATCAAATGAAGAAAGATTTTTAAATATTCTCATTGTCTCTATCAAGTTATTTGACCAAAAAAACAACAACGTAATTTTAATAACTATTTTGTTTTCATAACATTATTAATCATTTTGCACGTGCCCATGAAATTGCTCTCCACCCTGTCACGATGTGGTAAATGCTCCTTTAAGAAACCGTCTGATGTACTCATTGGCATCCCCATGCCCGCTTTTGCCTTTCTTCAGAGGAGGGTAAAACATCCGCTGTGACACACAGTAACTATCTACATTTATGTTTCCTGTTTTTCCTCATGTTGTGTTTGAAATTGAATGTTGTCAAGCTTAACATGTCCATCTTGTCATAGTCAAATAGTAATAGAAAAAAGTCAGAAATCTAAACTATAGCTTTCAAACTATCTACAAAGAACTTCCCATTCATTTGCATATTTGCTAAACATCTTGTGTGATTTCTTAATTAGCTAATACGGGCCAGTTCATATTGTTTGAAAGTTTGACAAAGTATTTTAGATCTTGGGTTTTATTTGGAAAAGATCATGCAACGATTTCATATTTTATAGGAAAATAAATGTTGGCCTGAGCTCGACCAACATTCATTTCTTACAGCCTAAAGTCTAATTATTGCAACAGCTGTGTGTTTAATTAAAAAAGCTTTTTTATTTATTTATTAAATCTGACGTCCCAAAGGAACATTATAGTGATAATGACCCATATGTTTTTGTGTATGTGTGTGTGTGTGTGTATGTATGTATGTATATATATATATATATATATATATATATATATATATATATATATATATATATATATATATATATATATGTATGTATTATTAAAGAGCATTGAACTACAACATGCAGTATATCATAAACACAATGTCACGACAACATCTTCCTTTGTGGAATAATATACAGAGTGTGACAGGTTGCAGCAGGCTCTGATATGCCAGGCAAGCTCCTCCCATGGTGTAGGCTTTCCCTGCAAGCTGTGGGGATTTTTTTGTGTGATGCAATACAGAAAAGTTTTAAAACAACTCAACAGAACTCCGGTGCCACTTTGAGAGCAAGTTCACAAATAAGAGGAATATACATGTTAGAAAGTTTCTCGTTTTTACGTGATTTTTAACAAGGTAAGAATATCTATCTATCTATCTATCTATCTATCTATCTATCTATCTATCTGTCTGTCTGTCTGTCTGTCTGTCTGTCTGTCTGTCTGTCTATCTGTCTGTCTGTCTGTCTGTCTGTCATTTATTTTTCAACTGCGACTTGAGTTGTTTTATTTTCAAACAGAGAATACCAGTTTATTATAACCTGTTTCTGCTTATAACAGAGCCTTAAAATTGCCTTTAAAAAACAAACAAAATGTTCAACCAATATGATGTTAACAAACATAATAAATGATTGCCTATCTTTAATATTTTGTTATTTACACATTTTATTACAGTTTTTCTCAGTCGCTTTGGTGCGTTTCTCACAACACTAGTGCATTTCTGCACAACAGTTAATGCATTTCTCAAAACAATTAGTACAAACAGCAGAACCTAGATGATAACCTGCAAAAGTGCGTCACATGCTCAAAATGGATAGCTCATTCCTCAAAAGCAAGTATTTATGTCAATCAATGTGTCAGTGTCATTAAAACGAAAAGTCCTGACTGTATACCATTTGCTATTTGCACAGCCATTTGAAAACTACAGCAAAGTTAGACATCACTGCATTTAGTGAGGTATCTGATTACAAGACACTGAATATGTTTTTCACATTTTTACTGCATTTGCTCGTTGCAATTCTAATTTATTCACAGCATTGTGCAAAAGAATAAATACACCCTTATTTACAACAAGCATAAACTACCTTTGGGTAAAGCTGGGCACAACTGTAGACTATATTGCAGAACATATTGGAACTGAACCTACAACACGCACAGGTCTGTAAATCATTCATGAAATTGTTCAATTTAGAAGACATTTTCAGAAAAAAAAAGATTTCTTTTATATATATATATATATATATATATATATATATATATATATATATATATATATATATATATATATATATGAAATTTGTTAGAAAGATTTTGACAACTAGTTCAACATTTTTGTATGTAATGACTCGAGTAATGAAATGAGGACTATTAGTTTTATATGGAATGACTGTTCAGCATTTACAAGTTTAGTTAATTTTGACTGATATGACAGAAGCAAATGATAATGTTATAAATAGCAGAGAGTTGTATAAAAACAATTGATGCATGTCCAAATGCATCTGCAATTTGTTGGAAGGAATGAGAAACTGCTAGGATATGCACAAATGACTAATTGTTTTGAGAAATGCATTAACTGTTGTGCAAATGTAAATAGTTTTGTGAGAAATGCATCAAAGCCACTGAGAAAAACTGTAATCTTTACACTATTTTATTAATCCCAAATGAAATTCAACAATCAATACATAAAATACATAATACTTAATACTTGATGAAGCAATTAAAAGAGTCTAAATATTTAAACACAGTTCAAACTATACAGGCTATTTGCATTATAGTGAAATTTTCAATTTCCCAGTGATGGGTTGCAGCTGGAAGGGCATCCGCTGCATAAAACATGTGCTGGATAAGTTGATTGTTCATTCCGCTGTGGCGACCCCAGATTAATAAAGGGACTAAGCCGAAAAGAAAATCAATCAATGAATGAAATTTTCAAATCAATCTTATATAAATATAATATATAAATGTATATAAATATATAATATATTTATACATAATATAATATATAAATGTGAATGCAGCATCATAAATGAGTTGTTGTTAGAAGGGATAAAGCTACAGCCAAACGTTAACAAGATTTTTAAATAACTTATTTATTAAATTACCCATTAATTGTATTTTATTAACATCTACCCCAACCCTAAACTCAACCCTAACAGTAACGGAAGAACAGTAATTATATTGAGCATTATTCATATTATTGATTATTTTCCAGTTAAATTGAATTTAATTAAGCATACCCCTAAACTTAACCTAATGTAAAACAGTCATTTTTGTTGTCCATACTGTAATTTCATTGTTGTAATTATATAAAGACTATTGTCAACGCTCAGCTGCTGATATCTCCCTTTACACTTTACCTATTCTCTTCCCAGAGTGTTTGTGAGATTCTAGCAGAATCCCAGTCCAGCGTGATGTCAGAGGAACAGATCACAATTAAAGCAAACCATGTAACAAACGCGGTATGTATCACATGATATTGTCAAGGTGTTTTTTAAGGTTCTGTAAAATTCACAGTTCATACAAAAGCAGTTTTCTCTAAACTCTAGATAAATGTACTCCCTTTTAACCTTCTGTTTAAGCATTACACAGTCCTATTAGGTACATGTTATTTCCTAGGCCATTTATTTACAAAATATTTCTAAATCAAAGATATCAGCATCAGGACTCAACAAATAATACATTACTTTTCATATTAGAGTTTGACTAGCTGTCTTTTTGTTTCAGTCTCTTGAAAGCACTAGACGAATAGCTCAAATGACAGAAGAGGTAAGAAATTCCATTTTTAATTTTCAAGTTTAAACAGCGTTTACACATGGTTGATACATAATGTTAAATATTATTTGACTTGCAAAAAGTGCTTAAGTTTAGAAATTTGGTCATTTGCAGTGTTTGAACATGGGAGCCGAAACTATGACTATGTTGGATGAACAGGGAGGTGGGTCTTTATTTCACTACACCGGATTCCAGATCCCTGTTTCAGTATCCCACAAAATTGAGGCCCTAAATAATTTACACATGCAATGTGTATGAATGTAGTTCACTGCACATTAACTAGCACTGAAAATTGTGCATTAAAAATAAATCTACACTGTAAAAAATGCAGGGTTCCACACAATCAAATCTAAATTTGGGTTAGAACAACATGAAGGAATTAACCCTTTGATGCACAAGCTACAAAACCCCTTCTAATGCACAACATGGGTCTTAAATGACTCGTATTCATTTCATATGTTATTTTCTTCTTCCCTGGGCATTTTTTGATTTTATCTTTTGAAATCAATTTATTTCAGCATTATATATTCAGATATTTTTTCAGTCTATAAACTACTAAGCTTTTTATATAAAGAATATAATTAAAAGAATAAAATAACAATTAGCAGAAGCAGTAAACATGTTTTAGACATCTTTATGTTTACTTTTAGACTACAGAATTAGGAAAGCATTATTGCAAGATTTCTCAAGCATAACAAATAAACTAAATTCTAATTCTCTTAATATTTTTTATACCTGTATAAATGAATGACATTATATTTGGGGAATTCAACACATTTAAGAAGACAACAATGTGATTCAAAATAAAAAATCTATATTTAAAGAGGTCTTACAATTTTTTAGGTATTACTTTTTATGCAAGTAAATACAAAAACTTTATTAAAAATAAGTATTTGTGAGAGTTTAAAACAATATATTTTATTATTATTATCTATATATAATATTAAAATATTTATTATTGCAAACAACAAAATGAATTTAATTTAAAGAATCTGCAAAAAAAAAAAAAAAGGCTCAGCCATGATTGAAATACCACAGGAAATAAATGCATGGTGTGCATTAAAAGGGTAGTGACACAAAAATAATTTTTATTCAAAAAGTAAAGAAAAAAAAAACAAAACAAAAAAAACACAAGACTTTGTACTGATGAAAAACAAGTATATCGAAGAATTCCTGGAATATTAAGTGATGAAGTTGAAATCTTGCAAAAATATGGAAAAAATAAACTTAGTTGGGTTACTTTAGACCCATATAGTGCATCAAATGGTTAAGGTTAAATGGCTTTTTAATGGTTAAAAACTTTTTCATTTATACAAATTTAAGTGGATTTAACATAAAACAATTAGGTTTCTCCCAAAAAATTTCGAGAATTTGTTTCAGCTATTTTTAGTAGTAGTAGTTTGACATGCAAACATCATTTACTTGAGAGTAAAAAGTAAAAGTAAAATCTGTGCAATGGGGCAGTTTTGAGTGAAATAAAAAAATCTTCCCACAAAACAACACAATAATAACAGCATTTTTTTTTTTATTTACATTTTGGAGTGGGTTCAAATTAAAATTGATTGTGCAGTTTGAAGGTTGAAAAAAAATTGTGAGTGAACCTCACGCATCAATATACTATTGACTGCATATTTATCCTGTTTTCTTTTCGCATCTCAGAAAAACTACATAATGTGAAAAGGGAATTGGGACATATAAACCAGGACATAAAACAGGCTCAAGCGAACTTGAATAAACTGTCCAGCTGGACATGGAAGAGGTAAGTCACGTCAATCAGTCTGTAAACTACTAAGGTTTTTAAATATATATATATATATATAGTGGCGCAGTAGGTAGTGCTGTCGCCTCACAGCAAGAAGGTCGCTGGTTTGAACCTCGGCTCAGTTGGCATTTCTGTGTGGAGTTTGCATGTTCTCCCTGCCTTCGCGTGGGTTTCCTCCGGGTGCTCCGGTTTTCCCCACAGTCCATATATACATATTCAAAGGGATCCTACAATTTGTTTAGATATAACTTTTCATGCATTGAGCAATAGTTTGTTAATTTTCTTTATATTACTAAAGTTGGCATTTTACTACAACAGCTATAAAATCATTACAACTGATTAATTCAAGTATTTTAATTGTATATAGTTCAAAAACGTTTACTATAAAATAATATAGTATTTTTTTCAAATGGGCTGATGTATTTCTTTGGATCTGAACAGCTTTTGTTCCAGACTGAAGCCCACCAAAAGAGAAAGTACATCTAAGCAAGCAAGCAAACCGAAAGAAAGGCAGAATGTGGCATCGTGCCACCCAGCTGCTGTCCAAAAAGGGCAGGCTGTTTCTGCTGAGTCAACAGCCCCCTCCGGCCCCTATATCACTAGGTGAGCTTTCTGTTATGCACTTCCACAAGCTATTTATATTTTATACGCGTTATACCCAGTTATTAAATGGTTTAAAGGCACTAACTGTAAAATTCAATTCTGATTTTGTTTCTTTAAGAATAACAAATGATGAACGGGAAAATGAGATGGAAGACAATCTGACCAAGCTGGGCCACTGCATTAAGATTATAAGGGACCAAACACTGGAAATAAACAACAAGCTCGACGAACAGAACAAAACCATTCAGGACATCCAGAATGACGTAAAGTGTTTCACTATCTGCACCACAGTGAAAACCTTTGCTTTGTAATTGACAAATATACAGGTTGGGCCATTTAAACGGATACACCTTAATAAAATATGAATGGTTGGTGATATTAACGTCCTGTTTGTGGCACATTAACATATGTGAGGTGGCAAACTTTTCAAGATGGGTGGTGACCATGGTGGCCATTTTGAAGTCGGCCATCTTGGATCCAACTTTTGTTTTTTCAATAGGACGAGGGTCATTTGACACATCTGACTTATTGGGAATTTCACAAGAAAAATAATGGTGTGCTTGGTTTTAACATAACCTTACTCTTTCATGAGTTATTTACACGTTTCTGACCCATTATAAAAAGTGTTTAATGTGCTGCCCATTGTGTTGGATTGTCAATGCAACCCTCTTCTCCCACTCTTCACACACTGATAGCAACACAGCAGGAGAAATGAAAGCACAGGCTTCCAGTATTCGTATTTTCAGGTGCTGCACATCTTGCATCTTCACACCATAGACAACAAATGTGCCACAAACAGGATGTTAATATCACCAACCATTCCCATTTTATTAAGATGTATCCATATAAATGGCCCACCCTGTAGATAGTATACATTTACTTGAAGTAACTTTACTTGAAGGGTTCATAAAAATATTAGTTTTTTTTTAATTGGTTTGGTGTAATTTTCACAAGCAATCTGTATATTTTCAAAACTCCTAGTGTTTGTATCACAACAGATCATCAAAAGTGCACTTTTTTTCATAAACATTTTGACATATTTTCAATTGTGTAAGAACAATACACAATCACAAAATATCCTTTTCATAACACAAAAAAGTGTTTCATCTAAATAAATGTTACATTTACACTAACTGCTTTCATAAAGCTTACACAATTAAACCTTTGATTTGCATCTCTTTTATCATTCATTCACTTTAATACATTTGTCAGTTAAACTTTATTTTGATTGTCCGTTTAATGAATTTAAGTTGCTTTTTATCTACAAGCCCACTAATTCTCATCAGATTATAAGTAGACTGTTAGGTTTGGGTTTGGGTTGGGGTTAGTGTAAGATGACCTTTACTTGTAAAGTTTTTTATAGCCATATAAAACCGGGTGCACCGGTTTCTCCCACAGTCCAAAGACATGTATCGGTGAATTGGGTAGGCCAAATTGTCCAGTGTATGAATGTGAATGAGTGTGTATGGGTGTTTCCCAGAGATGGGTTGCAGCTGGAAGGGCATCTGCTGTATGAAAACATATACTGGATAAGTTGGTGGTTCATTCCGCTGTGGCGACCCCATATTACAGTTTTTCTCAGTGCTTTGGTGCATTTCTCACAAAACTATTTACATTTGCACAACAGTTAATGCATTTCTCAAAACAATTAGTCATTTGTGCACATCATAGTAGCAGTTTCTCATTCCTTCCAACAAATTTCGAATACTTTTGGACATTGCCAATTAAGCCACTTAAGCCAATTCTGAAACCGCATTCACTCCAATCAATCACAATTAGATATGTATAAATAACTTGCAAAGTAAAATGAAAAATATATTATGATACATACAGTTTGTTTGCTTGTGTATGTTAATGATTCTATGTTTTCCCATTTACAAATCTGATCATGCAAATTACGTATATGCCATATAAGATCATGTTTGGATTTCACTTGTATAAAATCTATATTTATATTTGATATGTGTTCTTTGATCACATATTCATGTTGTATAAACTTTTTAAACAAAAAATGGGCTATGTAAACAGTTTTACAGCACAGTAACATTAATTCAGCACAAATTGTAATTTAATATCTGTATCTTGTATTGTTTGCTGGTGAATTAACTGATTGTTAAAAGTAAGTTCTTACTGCTTTGTTTTCTGCTTAAAGCAAATGTTCGCAATATATATCACAAGGTCTTGTGTTCTGAAACTGAAATATGTGCAAATGCAATGAAATCATAACATCAGATCTGAAAGAACGACTAGTGATGTTACAAGTATGAACAATGTACACTTTACTTATGAAAATAGTAACCAATAAACCCTGTAATGCCAGGTGGATATGGTAAAACAACTCAGTCGATCAACTGTGATCAGATCAGAGAAAATGTATGTTAAAACCAGGTGAAAACAGATTTAAGACTAACACAGTTTTTTGTTTGTTTTTCTACCAGGTTGACCAAGCTAATGATGATGTTGCTACTGCGAATAAACAGGCCAAGAAATGTTAAGTGAAACACATCTCAACATCAAATCCCCTCAGTGTAAAAAAAAGGATAGAATAAACTGTAAATCTCTAAAAGTCTAATTCTGTTCCATTGCGTCTGTTTTTACTGCAAATAATTCCTTACATTTTTACATTTATTTAGCGCTTTTCTGGACACTCAAAGCACGTTACACATTTTTAGGGAGAATTATCCACCACCAGTGTGCAGCCTTCACATGGATGACGTGACGGCAGCCATATTCCACCAGACTGCACACCACAGAGAGCCGGTACCTCGATTAACATCTCATCTAAAAGACTATGAATGAGCAGAATAGTATAGCTTCACTATATTGGGGCGTTAGGGCCCACAAAGAACACAGGCTGAGCACCCTTTGCTGCTCACTAACACCACTTCCAGCATCAACCTAGCTTTCTCATGTGGTCTCCCATCCAGGTACTTACTGGGCGCAACCATGTGAGAGTTGCAGAGAGCTAGCTGCCGGAATAGTTCAAATGATGAGTACATCATCTCTCTTGGTACGTGATTACATGCAAAATAAGAAAACTACATTTTTATTTTTATAATAATATTTTATGTCCATTTAGGCTTCAGTTATTTTGTGTGAGAAGAAAGATACCGCTAGGTTAAATATATGTTACAGTTACTGAATTTGAAACAGGAGGCTACTAGGAAGATGAAACAAATGGCATCATAAGTCAGACTCAAACTTTTTTTTTACCAACATAACCATCATTTCTTGGCACATAGGAAATCCACAGCACCATATATAAGGTAATGTGGTGGAAATATAATGATATCCATGTAGCAAAAGGCAGTTTTGTAGAGCTTATTAGTGTGCTCTTGGTTATATTGTGATTTTGCATCTACATTTTCTCTTGGTTTTCAACAACCACAGAGTGTCAGGACCTCGGTTTAACATCTCATCCGAAACCAGGCACTCACTAAGCAGTATAGTGTCATCACCTTAACTATACTGGGGCGTTAGGATCCCCTACTGGCCTCACTAAAACCACTTCCATCAGCAACCTAGCTTTCCTATGTGGTCTCACATCCAGGAACTGACCGGACGCAGCCCTGCTTAGTTTCAGTGGGCAACCATCTGAGAGTTGCAGAGAGCTAGCTGCCAGCAGCACTTCAGCAATTTTAATAAAGCTTTAGGATAATCCAGTCTTTGATTCTCCCTAATATTATTTGGACAAAATGTACATTGTTATGAAAAAAATGGCAAAACAATCATTATATTCATTTCTATATTCATTTCTATATTTTCATATTCATTTTAATAAACTCAATAGCCAAAGGGATCATAACAATAAATCATTTACCTCATGCTGTCCTTTTTGTTTTGTGTCTTCAAATGACCAGCAGAGGTTGCTGTTCTATTCTGAACACAAGAAGTATTTTCTAAGGAGGCCAAAAAAACCCATCATATTCTCACTTGTTTGTTTACTGCTCTAAGAGTTTTCAAAGAACTGAGCATACAGCATAACTAAACCATTTCAATTAAGCAGTGTGTATCATTTGTGCTCTCAAAAAGGTGACATTATATTGAATTTAAGCTGATATGTCAATACACACACACACACACACACACACACTCTCTTTTTTCCCTCGCTCTTACATAAAATAACCACAGCATATGAGTAACCTTGAAATGTACTTTCTTTGAAGTTGAACTGTATATGTATAATCTTTCTCAATCAGGAATTCTAGCACCTGTTCTCATCACTTGTGTTTTTCTCATCACTCGAGGGTTTTTTCTAGTTACGCTCTTTATTGGTCTTATTTGGCCAACCACATTCATTTCTGTGGCTGAAAACAGCATAGCTCGCTTCTGCCTTTACAGTTTGGCCAAGTCATTTGACACACTTAAGCCAATTCTGAAACCGCATTCACTCCAATCAAATTCACTATAAAATGCACCTAATGCAATTACTTCACAGTTATATTTTTTACAACATTCATTTTGCACATTTACTTTACAAATATAGCATTCACACTTATAACAGTCTTAAACAGTATTTAGAGCCCCAGGACATCATTCAATAACCCAATTGTTTAGACATCAGCCTTTTTAGTAACAGGCAAAAACATGAGAATATCAAGCAACTCAATGCATTTAGGCATGTAGACATGGGCAAGATGATCTTCTGCAGTTCAAACTGAGCATCAGAATGGAGAAGAAAGATGATTTTAGTGACTTTGAAAGTGGCATGGTCTTTGGAGCCAGACGGGCTGATCTGAGTATTTCAGAAACTGCTGGTCTACAGGGATTTTAACGCACAAACATCTCTAGGGTTTACAGAGAATTGTCAGAATGAGAGAAAATCCCTTGTTGATGCCAGAGGTCAGAGGAGAATGGCCAGACTGGTTCCAGTGGATACTGAGACTGTTAAGACTCTTTTCCACTGCACACGACAAATGACAAGCGACAGACCAGAAGTCCTTTGTTCTGATCATCTCCATATGTTAAAAATTTGGATCCCAATTGAGCTGCGGATCCGCTGAAATAATTTAACTCCTGCGACTAGATTCCGTCCAATATTTTTAGCAGTCTGAGTTTCTAGTATTCATTTATTCATTCAACCATGGAGAATTGCATTTGCACTCCTTTATTTCAGACACTGCGAGAACAGCTTCTCTCCCATGGTGCACGTCAGAACTGTAAATTCTGTGCGACTGCCACAAGGGGGCGTATTCCGACAGTCGTGCCCAAATGTCGTGTGCAGAGGAAAGGCGGCTTTACAACTGAGGTATTGAGAAGAGCATCTCTGAATGCACAACACATCAAACCTTGAGGCGGATGGGCTACAGCAGCAGAAGACCACACTGGGAGCCACTTCTGTCAGCTAAGAACAGGAAACTAAGGCACCAGTTTGCAAAGGCTCACTAAAATTGGACAATAGAAGATTGGAAATACTACCTGGTATGATAAGCCCCTATTTTGCTGCGACATTCGGATGGTTGGGTCAGAATTTGGCGTCAACAACATGAAAGCATGGATCCATCCTGCCTTATATCAACGGTTCTGGATGGTGGGGGTGGTGTTATAGTGTGGGGGGTATTTTCTTGGCACACTTTGGGGCCATTAGTACCAATTGAGCATTGTGTCAACACCACAGCCTACCGGAGAATTGTTGCTGACCATGTCTATCCCTTAATGACCACAGTGTGCCCCTCTTCTGACAGCTACTTCCATTAGAATGAAGTGTCATGTCAAAAAGTGTCATCTCAGACTGGTTTCTGGAACATGACAATGAGTTCACAGTAGTCAAATGGTTTAAACAGTCCTCAGATATCTGTCCAAAAGAGCACCTTTGGGATGTGGTGGAACCGAACACATGGATGCGTAACCGACAAATCTGCAGCAACTGTGTGATACTATCATGTTAATATGAACCAAAATCTCTGAGGAATATTTCCAGTACTTTGTTGAATCTATGATTATGTCAGTTTTGAAGGCAAAAGTGGGTCCAACACAGTACTAGTAAGGTGTACCTAATAAAGTAGCCCTTAAATTAAAGTTATGCAATGTAATTTAATGTAATGTGTATTTATATAGCGCATTTATCATGTACGTCCATACACCCAAAGCGCTTTACAACCATAAGAGAGGTCTCTCCACACCACCACCAGTGTGCAGCATCCAATGGGATGATGGAATGAAAGCCAAAGGACAATGGTGTCAGTGCGCTCACCACATAACAGGTATTAGTGGAGAGACATTGATAAAGCCAATTGGGATGGGGATGATTGGAAGGCCATGATGGGTAAGGGCAGAGAGGGAATTTGGCCAGGACAAACAATCAGTATAATGGTTCATTGCTGAACTAAATCAGTTATAAGTGTCATTGACATGAATAAACTGTACAATTAAAATACTGATTTTGAATATGGTGAAAATCTTAGTTTATACAATTATATTTGCTTTGTTATGGTATGAATGGTTAATATCTTGAGTATGAGTTGAAGGATAAATGTTCAAGTGCACTGTTCCAGCTGTTTTCATATGTTTAAGAAGAAAATTTTTGGTTGTAATCAAGACATAGTCAAGACACTTTCATAACTTTTCAATCTCATGTTATATTAATGTTCTCAAAATGTCATTTAAAACATTATTATGTTTGCTCAGTTTACTTTTAATGATATATTACTAATAATGAATGATATTCATCTATGTGAAGACCCTGATCATGTTGATGATTTCTCACAATAGTTGTCAAGTATTTAAATTTTAAAATGATCACTTCTACAATATTTTCTCTAACAATTTTTAATAAATCATGCACTACATTTTACTATGTTTGTACAGATTTTCAAACATAAATCCACTTTGAGATTTTACTGAAATTATCATCAAATCTACAGAATTTTTAACATAGCCGACACTCTTCTAACCATTGTAGTTGCCCAGAGCTCGACATTAGAGATAGTTGAGATTACATCCGTTCTAGTCTTTAAGCACAGTTCTGCCTTCCTATTACATCAATACAAGTGTGATTTAAACATAATGGCTACAAAATATATTAGATAAAGCTTACTGGAAAGGGATTACACAGCAAATTCATCTGAGTTAAATTCTCGGGGTTGAAGCATTTCAGAGTAAAGTGTTGACGTTAAAGAGTTAGATTTTGATAAATGAATATAATAAGAGTTAGAATTGATTTTATTCAGTGCGAAATCAAGGGGTTATCTTTTCAACACTTGGTGGTGTTATTTCCAACATCCGGGAATTCATGCAGCCCCAGTCACTGAAGAATTTTCCAGACGCCATTTTCCATCTGAGGTTTAGAACAGCAACTGGTGAGTCAAACTACCTAAATGTTGGTATTTTACTGACTTTCTTTAAGGAAATACAGTTGTAAACATATTGTTAAGTTAATAACTTTAAAATGGAGTGACAATTTTAATCTTCTGCGGTTCATTCATGGTTGTTTGTATATCTAGCTTAACTATTGACTTCTTTTCAAGAATGTTTTTATATAACTGTTATGCTCACGCATACATAGTGCATAAAAATATCAAATGTACATGTTCAACACATTTCTGTCACGCTTAATGCCATTTTGTGCGTTG